TTTGAGCAAACCCATCGCATAATATCATCTAAAGCAGTGCTTCTCAAACTTTTTTCAGTAATGTACCCCGCTTTGAAAAATGTTCTCTGCCAAGTACCCCCTGACCGACCCCGGACATTTGAGACAGAAAACGCCTATATAAATAATTACAATAATTAACAAACCAATGAACAAAATGATATATTATGAAAAACTATAAATACAATACACAAATGTAACATGTTTATATGAGGACCCCCTTAGTGGTTCTAGGAATATTTGATATACAATTGTGTTTTCTATTTAACTTATTGTACTTATTTTTGTAATCATGCATGGTATTTTTTTAATTAACCTTTTTATTTATTTTATCTCACGTACCCCCTGCAGTACCCCAACGTACCCCTAGGGGTCCGCGTACCCCCATTTGAGAATCACTGATCTAAAGCAGGGGTGTCGAACTCAAATACACAGTGGGCCAACATTATAAAATGGGTACTAGTGGAGGGCCGGACTGGTTCAATGTTTATTGCAGAACTTATTGAAATGAACTTATTGCACATATTAAACCTGGAACTAACAAAGCTTAAATGATTGCCTATAAAAACAACATGAAACATTAAATAATCAGTTGCATTCATTTCTTATGTCTCGATCTGCAGCTTTTCCAGAGTCATTTCTTATGATTACATTTCTGCACAGGCCAACAACAGCTTCAACAAAACTATTTCTCTCAAAGAGAAAACCAAACATGCCCTGTTGTCGTGAGAGAAGGAAACATCCATGTAAACTCAGTGTGCTGCTCTGTGATGCTAGTTCAGATACTTGGCATCTCATCTTGGGTGCAAGGTCATCAATGGGGTCAGGCTCTGAGCTGAGGAGACCCTCAGGATGGAGTGAAGGTGCAATATACCGGCGGGCCAGATCTAATAGCAATTAGAAATTATCCTGTGGGCCGAAATTAAATCCACAAAGGGCCTGATTTGGCCCCCGGGCCTTGAGTTTGACACATGTGGAAACCATCGGACGCCAAGCAACTCTTCAACTTTAAGTAATATAAATGAAAGAAGACGAGTTTAAAATGTCTGTTTAAGGCGTCGAGTGGCTTGATAGAAAAACAAGGAAGGAAGGAAGCCACGACAGACATGGTTAAAGTTATTAATCAAAATACTTAAAAAGTATTAGATGCATTTGAATCGACATCGTACCTTGGCTGCTTTCCCCACTCGCGGCTTCAGTGGTTTGTATTCTTCGTTGGCTTGCAGTGCGACCTGAGAAAGGCAGAATGCATCAATATAAGTTTCTATATTCATTTTTTTCACAAATCTGTAGTTTGCTTTGTTTCCTTTACCTCATGACAGCATCCCTCCACAGTCTCCACCTGCTCCACCTTCACTTGGGGCATGAATTCTGCAAGACTGAAGGAATTAAACTACTTTAAAACATATTCTAAAGCATTTCAAGACAGTGAAAAATCGATATCGGCTGATATTCACTCTCGGCCGATCGATCGGTGCTCTCTATAAATGCCGATCGGGAGAGCCGATCACATGACGTAAAATACATGACACTTTTCTCTGCGGCAAAACAAGCTCGTCCAAAATGGCTTCACCGGTCTGGCAGTATTTTAGGGTGTCCGAAAAAGACAGTAAAATAGCGGTATGCAACGTGTGTGTGAAGCAGACATCCTATGCAACGTGTGTGAAGCAGACATCCTATGCAACGTGTGTGAAGCAGAAATCCTATGCAACGTGTGTGAAGCAGAAGCAGCTCCACCCGCTGTGACGGACCGGTGAGCGGAGCAACACACACACTAATGGCGCATTTCCACTACAGCGCGGAGCACGGTTTAAGAGGGCTGTGACGTCAGCGGTCCGTCTTTGGTTGCGTTTCCACTTGGTCTAGTACCGGCTAGCGGGTCCTAATTCACAGTTTTTCTGGCCTCATAAAATCGTGGGTCTAGGGCCAGAGACAACGAGGCTGAGTCGGGCTGAGTATGCTAAACTAGAGAGAGCATCGCTGGCAAGGGGGCTACAACTACAACAAGATGGACATATTTGACCGTGATTTAATTGTAATACAGGTTTCAAAATGATGCCGAAGTAACAACATACTGATACCGGTTAGTAGAAACCATGAATTAATGCTTTGTCAAGTCTGCAGACAGACGGCAGGAGAAACACCTTTTAAAATGCGTGTGTTCTAAATGGAGATTGGCTAAGCTAACGCAGTATATGCTCCGACCGTCCACACTCACAACAACGGCCTACAGACATAAATAAAGCAGCGACTGTATTCTCCATGACACAGGCAGTCTGTGGTTTGTACTTGTTTAACTTTTGTCTAGTTTCTGAACATATATGAGGAGCTGTGAGCTCTGAGTGCTAACAGCTAACGGCTGTGTTGTTTTTCTGGGGTTCTCTGAAGATCACGTCACGGCTCCGCCTACACTGCGTTACTATAGATACTACCCCAGTTCCTAAACTGTAATGGCAATGCGCCATAAAGTGAGCCAGTCCTAACGAGGCCTAGCCATACTGAGCGAGGCCGTGTAGTGGAAACGCGCCATAAGTGCCTTACTCAAGGGCACACTAGTGGTGGTGTTCCTGGCGGGATTTGAACTCACAACCTTCCGATCTTCAGCCCACCACACTATCCATTAGACCACCACTACCTACTAAATATAGTTAAGTAGTAGTAATGCTTTGGAAGTATAAAATAGGACCCTGTACAGACACACGGTGTTTATTGGTAACGCTTCTCACTTCAGGTCGTTAGCACAGATGGCCTCGTGTCGAGCTTTCTTCCCGAACAGAACCTCCTCTCCTCCGTCACTGTCGGCCTCCCTCTTGACGGCAGGAGAAGCAGCATCTTTATCAGCGCCATTTTTAGTAATAACTTTCCTGTTAAAGAGAAAAAACAAACACACTGTAGTTAGCTGACGTGCACTTGAACGCAACACAGACGAAAATTCAAACAGACATATATTCAGAGTAGAAAAATACATATATCACTAGACTAGAGTATCTAAAAATAATACATAATATGAAGAAAATACTGAATACTCTGCGCTACACAACTTCACTAAGACTTATAGAAATATACTACAGGATTGGCAGAGGTGTAAAGTAACTAAGTACATTAACTCAAGTACCATTTTGAGGTACTTTACTTGAGTATTTCCATGTTATGCTACAGAGTACTTCTACTCCTCTACAGTTCAGAGGTACATGGTGTACTTCTACTCCACTACATGTATTTATACCTTTAGTTACTTCACAGATGTGGATGAATGATGTGAAATATAATCAAGTGTTAAATCAGACTTTAGTTCCACCTGGAGTAAATCCACAAGCTACCCTGCAGTATACAAAGTCATTCAAACTAGCTGCACCTTTACCAGCTTTGAGAACACTTTAATGATCAATCATTATAAAACATATCATATATATTATTCTGAAATGGAGCAATCTGCACAATGACTACTTTTACTGTCGCTACTTTCACTATATTTTGATGAGAATACTTTCCTACTTTTACTTGAGGAACATTTTGAATGCAGGACTTTTACTGTAACAGAGTATTCCTACACTCTGGTACTTCTACTTTTACTCAAGTACAAGATCTGAATACTTCTACTTTTACTCAAGTACAAGATCTGAATACTTCTACTTTTACTCAAGTACAAGGTCTGAGTGCTTCTACTTTTACTGAAGTACATGATCTGAGTACTTCTACTTTTACTCAAGTACAAGATCTGAGTACTTCTACTTCTTCTCTAGTACAAGATCTGAGTACTTCTCCCACCTCTGCACATTGGATTATATAAACATTACAGTTGTACATTTTAGCATAAATATGTCATACACAAATATGGCTCAACATTTCTCCAGTATTTATTGCTTTTCTTAACGACATGAAAAGTATACAAAGCAAATGGTGCAAAGATGTTTCTGTTCATAATGCCATCACCTTTGAATGACTGTAATGAGAACTGATGTTTAAGTGCCTTTTTCTGATGTATTAGAATAATTGTTCAGTAAAGATGAGGCATGAAGCAGTTGAGCTAGCTAGACTCTTGTGACTATTAACTTCTTAAATTGCACACGTATGGCGTTAATGTTACACATAACACACCAATAACAAAGCAAATACAATGTCCGAAAACCCATAACACGTGTTTTATTTCAGTTTCCATTAGCAATTAGCAACATTAGCTGGTTAGCATAGTTATTGCTACGTTCAAGTTTCTCTGTACAATCTAACCTCCGGATTTCAAACGTTAAATATGCAACAAAAAACAAGCCTTTACCCGATTTCTGCAGTCAGAGAAGCGGGTATCTTTTTGCTTGTGGTAGTTTGTTGTTCATCGTCAAACACGCTGAACAAACCGTCTCCAAAAGCGTCCGCCATGATTGTTAGGGGCAGAACTTCTTCCCACAATACAACACGAGGGTTTGCTCGCCAAATCCCGGGAAGTGCGCCGGAAGTCGATGTAAATGTCCGTAGTGGCCAAACGGTGGTACTACAGCAGTGCAGAAGCAGTCAGTTCAGGCAACTTTAAAGGTGGAAATAAGGTATAAAAGTAATAAAATAAATATTAAACCAATAAAGAGCAGCAAGTATATATACATTGCTTCAGTAGGAAGGACATGAACCACAAACAATACTATGTATAACATGTTTTAGATAAGTTAGACAAAGAAAGACAGATTTAAACTTGATATTGAAAATTCCTTTAAATATGTAATTTACAAGAAGAAAGTAAACTATGTTTTTTGAGTTATTCTTTAAATGCTTGACAACACTGCAGCTTTTCAACCCAATTTAAATTAAATTAATCTTGCTTTCTTTTCTATGTTTGTATTTTCTGTCAGTTATAATCAGCATTTATCCAGTAGGGGGCGGTGATGCAACGTCTTGATGCCAACCGCCTCTAAAACCCAAGAAGAGTGGGGGCGTGTCGATGCCACTGCTCATGTGAAAGGAACCTCCCATATTTGGTCTTGGCTTCCTGTGACAGCTCGCCCATGATGGTGTGCATGTGGAGCGCGTGGCGGCGGGGCTCCGTGTTGGCCGCGCGGCTCGCAAAGAGGGATTGGCCGTGCAGTTTTTCCGCGGGCCTTTCTGTCAGATACAGGGACTTCAGCACCAAGACGGCTCCTCACATCCCCGGCATGGAGTACCAGGTGTGTTACCCTCTCTGCTACCTGTCTGTTAGCATGCCAGCTAGCCACAGACGCTAGTTTACAAGTTTTAACTTCAACTCTGACACTCTGTGACAGTTATGGGATGGATACAAAAATGGCTGACATGAACAAGTGGGAGAACATAATAATAACAGTTAGCTCTGGATTGTAGAGCCAGGGGAGTAGAAGCTAACAGAGGAGCTGTGAGAGAGAGACAGCTGTGACTCCTACGGTTATGTTACTGGACAACTTGTACTGAGGCAACGATCATCCAGCAGAGATAACAACACGTGTCGTAACGATGGTCGTAACCCTCTGAAAACACTGGGTTCACATAGTAAACATCAGAGGTGGGAGAGGTACTCCGATCTTGTACTTGAGTAAAAATAGAAGTACTCAGATCTTGTACTTGAGTAAAAGTGCAAGTACTCAGATCTTGTAGTAAAAGTCGAAGTACTCAGAGCTTGTACTTGAGTAAAAATAGAAGTACTCAGATCTTGAACTTGAGTAAAAGTGCAAGTACTCAGATCTTGTAGTAAAAGTAGAAGTATTCAGATCTTGTACTTGAGTAAAAGTAGAAGTACTCAGATCTTGTACTTGAGTAAAAGTAGAAGTACTCAGATCTTGTACTTGAGTGAAAGTAGAAGTACTCAGGTCTTGTACTTGAGTAAAAGTAGAAGTACCAGAGTGTAGGAATACTCTGTTACAGTAAAAGTCCTGCATTCAAAATGTTACTCAAGTGAAAGTATAAAAGTATTCTCATCAAAATATAGTGAAAGTAGCGACAGTAAAAGTAGTCATTGTGCAGATTGGTCCATTTCAGAATAATATATATGATATGTTTTATAATGATTGATCATGAAAGTGTTCTCAAAGCTGGTAAAGGTGCAGCTAGTTTGAATGACTTTGTATACTGCAGGGTAGCTTGTGGATTTACTCCAGGTGGAACTAAAGTCTGATTTAACACTTGATTATATTTCACATCATTTATCCACATCTGTAAAGTAACTAAAGCTATTAAATACATGAAGTGGAGGAAAAGTACACCATGTACCTCTGAACTGTAGTGGAGTAGAAGTACACAGTAGCAGAAAGTGGAAATACTCAAGTAAAGTAAAAGTTGTACTTAAGTACAGAACTTTTACTTCGCACCTCTGGTCACTGTTTTTATGTGGATATTGATTTGTTTCGACTCACTTGTTGCAGGAAAATTGCACTATTGTCCAACTGTAAATGCATTTTATATATGTGAATGTACGTTTTTGTGAAGTGTACATCCTTGCTAAAGTTTCAGCGTTGTTTTTATTAAAGCTGTATGAATCTGTCTCTCCTTCCTGCTTGAATGTCATTGTTGTTATTGGGTATTTTTGTCATTGTAAACTAGGGCTGTGCAATTAATTGTATTTTAATTGCAATTACGATTTTGGCCTGCCACAATTACGAAAACAACATAATCGTAAAAGACGATTATTTTGCTTTGCTAGGTTGTGACAGTGCAACATATTTGATCTAATTTATTTGTATTTATCATATTTACATATGTTTAGTAGCTTGTTGAAGTGCGCTCCAAAATATTTGTTGATCTTGTTTATTGGTATTTATTATTTTTGATATTATTTATTTAAATGTATCATTTATTATTGTATTGGTTATTCAGTTGAATTATACGTTCAGGGTAATCAACAGTTAAAAAGATACTGTTCAAATTATTATTTGTATTTGTTTTAAAGTTCAATAAATGGATGCTTTCAAAGTCAATGAATAATCGTATTTAATAATCGTAATATCAATTATTGACCAAAATAATCGTGATTATGATTTTTGCCATAATCGCACAGCCCTATTGTAAACCAACCAATGTGTTGTTCTGCCTGACTGAATACTGGCTTCCCTGCCCTCAAACTCTTTGGTCAAACAATATGTAAAAGGTTCATTATTGCAATAAAATAGGAGGGTATTAAATATAAATGTGTTTGAGTATTTGGTGCAGCAGGATATATGAAATATGCTTCCTTCCTAAACTCCTTCATGCACAGCAGTTGTGAAATAGTGAATGCTAGAAATGATTAATGTTCTGTTGATAGACTGAATGATGGAGGTATTTCATCACTGAACACATCCGGGTTCAGCTTTAAGTCAATGTTTGTACCTTTTAACGTTGTGATATTGATCTGTGGGGTCATCTCTCCAACTGATGAAAGGCCTGAACTTTAGTGATAAGATCAAACAGTCAGTCATGAGACCCTGACTCCTAAACATGTCGCTCTTCTTGAACATGAGAAAGTCAAATGAACAGGGTCCCCGGTGTTTTTCTGCTATCCTGGAAAGACCA